AAACAATTATTTTCTTTTTAACGCAGTAATGATAAAATTTAAAGAGACCTGGAATATGGAAACTTAAATATCTGGAGGGAATTTCTTTTTCATTAAGGTAAAGCACTAAACTTAATGGTGAAGAAAAGTGTAAGGAGAGTCAGTGAAATGATGGAGAAAGGCAATATTTATTAGAAATTAAAATATGTATACTTTTGATCTAGAAATTCTATGTGTAGGAAATTTGGCCCTCAGAAATAAGCATACCATGGCACAAAGAAATATGTATAAAAATATTGGCTATATCTTGTAAAAATTATACCAAACAACTATATCAAGTATTCCCCAATAGGGTACTAGTTAAGTAAGAAGAGCCCATTGGTATCAGCAGCACATGCTGGGGCCACAGCTCTCCTAAGAACTGTCATTCTTTCATATTCAGCATTCTTTGTGTCCGTTTTCCCTTCCTTTGAAATCTGGTTACATATATTCTCTTCAGAAGACTTTACTACACATCATCTCCCAACAGGTCTGTTTCCTGTTAATAGATGGTGCTCTCTCACTGTATTCCAAACCCTGTGTTCCAGCCTGAAGTCTTGGTGTAATTCAAGTTCTCTTTGTTCATGACTCAGACCTCTGAGACTACTGAATATTGTTTCTGAACTCCTTCCCCATTTTGACCATGTGTGTGAATAGGCAGTCATTCTGCAGGCATATCCTTATTCTATTGTGCTTTGCTTTATTGCACTTCACACGTATTGTATTTTTTACAAATTTGTGGCAACCCTGCATTGAGCAAGTCTATCGGCATCATTTTTCCAACAGCATGTTCTCACTTCATGTCTCTGTGTCACATTTTGGTAATTCTCACAATTTTCAGATTTTTTCATTATAGTGATCTGTTAGGGCGATCTGTGATCATTGATGTTGCTATTGTCATTGTTCGAGCGTCACAAACTGCGTCCACACAAGATGGCAAATTTAATCAATAAGTGTTGTGTGTGTTCTGACTGCTCCACTGACTGGCCACTCCCCTGTCTCTCTCCCTCTTCTCAGGCCTCCCTATTCCCTGAGATACACAATATTGAAATGAGGCCAGTTAATAACCCTACAATAGCCTCTAAGTGTTCAGATGAAAGGAAAAGTCCCGCGTCTCTCGCTTCCAGTCAAAAGCTAGAAATGATTAAGCTTAACGAGGAAGGTGTATCAAAAGCTGAGATAGGCCAAAACCTAGGCTCTTGTGCCAAGTTGTGATGCCAAGGAAATATTCCTGAAGGAAATTAAAAGTGCTACTCCAGTGAACACATGAATGATACGAAAGTGAAACAGACATTGCTGATATGGAGAAAGTTTTAGAGGTCTGGATAGAAGATCAAATCAGCCCCAACATTCCCTTAAGCCAAAGCCTAATCCAGGATAAGGCCCTAACTCTCTTCAATTCTATGAAGGCTGAGAGAGGTGAGGAAGCTGCAGCAGAAAAATTTGAAGCTAGCACATGTTGGCTCATGAGGCCTAAGGAAAGAAGCCATCTCCATGACATCAAAGTGCAAGGCAAAGCAGCAAGCGCTGACGGAGAAGCTGCAGCAAGTTATCCAGGACATCTAGCTAAGATCATTGATAAGGTGGCTACACTAAACAATGGATTTTTCATTGTTGATGAAACAGCCTTCTGTTGGAAGAAAATACCATCTAGGACTTTTATAGCTAGAGAGAAGTCAATACCTGGCTTCAAAGCTTCAAAGGACAGGTTGACTCTCCTGTTAAGAGGTAATGTAGGCTGGGCGTGGTGGCTCAC